ATTACAATAGTCCAGTCTTTGTCTTTATCCGGACAAGTAGGAGTTAATGTAACTCTACATGTGATATGCCAGCCCTAGTAAATAACAGGATTACTAGTGTTGTGACCATGACGAAGTATCTAGACATTCAGGACACACCTATTTTCGGAGAAATCTTCCCTATTGACTGATTAGCTACAGTCTAAACTCTGTGTAAGTCCGGACAGAAATTACGTGGCGCTAACTGGGATATCGATATATTTCAAACAATGTAAATATATGCTATTTAACCGTTACGTTACAAACATTATTATCAAATGAAATGTTTGCATGTTCTATTTGCATAGAAATCTTGGAGATGCTCATTGTGTATAATCATGACCGTCTGAAATGAAATGATTTTAAAATCATAACAATAACATTTATTTCATGATAATTTTACTCTGAATGTGAGACGGTCTTACTTACCGTAAAGTACTGAGAATCTGTAATAATAAAACATATTAATGGCTTTCTCTGTTAAAACAAACCTTTCAAAATTTCAAGAGTGTTTTCAATGGAATTTCAACACAACAGAGGACAAGTTGACTAATATCTAATCATATGAACATATTATATTTCTGTTTTTTTTCATTCGTTTTTCAAAATGTCTCTCTATACACGACAAAGATTCGCGTTCGTCCTGATGCATAACAATTCTAAACATATTGTTCGGGTGTGTATTTTAGTAGTAATGGATTCCAAAAGTAAAATTCAAAATTGTCCTCAAAATAAATTCGGTATTCTATTATTATAGAGCGAAAGAATTTTATCAATCAATCTTGCACGAGACGACGCAGTTCTTCAACTGTCACTATGATTGACAGAAGGATACTTTACCAAAGGTAATATCTACAGGACTAGAATTAGATTGATTGTGCTGTCCATGCTTGATGCTTATTTATTATACTGAAAAAAAAATCATCGTATATTGTTTTCATGCAATGTGTCCCATGTTGCGCTCAAGATCTTTGATCATTTGATAAACATAACTGCTTATTCTAACTAAAACAAACCCATCTAAGACTTCAATGATCAATCAATTGATCTAGACAGAACTCGGTTTAAATCACAGCAGTTGTTGTCGGCCATGGAGTTTATAGGCCAACTCATAGACGGTACAGTTAACCCAAGTTATATTGGTCTGGTTCGTGAAGGCGTTTGAGCTCAGCTGGTCATCCCGGTCACGAGTACGCTTACGTCTGCAATCGTTGGATTTTCCCGCTATGTGGTCTTAGAAGAAAGTGTATGTTGTAGACGGTGCCTGATGAGAAGGTATAATAAAACGCAGCTATTTTATAAACATGGAGCTATATGTAAGCATGCCCTTTTGTGATTTGTCTGTGTCTGCTGTTGCAGAGAGGGTCAACAATAGCGAGCTCTGTGCAATCAATAACTCTCCTTTTTTGTTTTTGAAAGCAAACCACTTCTCAATAAACCAAGCAAGCTGAAAATAATGAACTACATGACATGACATCTACGCTAATTTGTTACCACATGTCATCATCAAAATTGACCCTCCATCCGATGCCAGAGACAATAAGTACACTTATAACATATATTCAGAACGTAACACAATATCCATCAAAATGTTACAACAGACACTGTTTTTGGAGGTATTTCTTTGAATAATTTTCCTTCAAAATAATTACCCTGACAGTACTAAATGAAATTATACTCACCGCCATAGGAAGTACACTTCTAGGAACACAAAAAAGCTCACAGCTTCGTCGGGGTTTCACATAAGTACAATAGCAAATACAGTACAATTTTCAGTTATTTCAGTGAACGGAAGTGTTTCACCAGATTTCGGACTAAAACGATTTGAGTTTAAAAATGGCGATGTTGTTTAATTCCCCTTTAAGGTTTTCCAGTTCAAACTTAGAAATCATAATTGAAATCATTAAAATAAATAATGATCTTATACATCATGACACAGATAAAACTAACCTGGCAATGGTATTGTGATATTGTAAGCATTTGTGAAACTGGTTGAAGAAAACCGAGTAGTGAGAGGATACCCTACCCTCCTTAAAAATTATGGCATATACACACTACTTAAATAAATGCGACGTAATATTGAACCATATGAACGCCCGGTATAAAATGATGAAAACATATCAACATATATATATATATCTAAGACGTTCTTTGAAGTAATTTTCACCTCGAAATAAAAGTTACTACCTCAAATTAATGTTCATGTATGTGTCCGAGATCGATTAATATCTATTGGAGGCTGACATTATTAACCAAATCTCGTTTGTGACGACGCCGAATATAATATCTCACAGAATGGCAGTCCTAGACTTGTACATTTCTCTGGTATAATCGTGTCAAAATTACATAAAATACTTAATAAATCATGTTCACCTCCATATTCTTCGATCCGAGACAATTACCTCCCTTATCAATCATATTTCGGAAGACTTTAAGATATGACGTCATTTAAATTATGACGTTACTTTGTGCCCGGCTTCGGCGTAGAGGTACCTTACAGATTGTTCGCGACAGATAATCTTATCGATGTGTCAAATTTTGCTTTCTCGAGTACAAGAAGAAATGACGAATTTATTAGAATACCCGAATTCACTTTCGTTTGAAAGATATAAACCAGCATATCAGCATTTCTGTTGACAGATTTACATTCATGAAGTGATCTTAGTGTGGGAATAAAACGTGAGATATTGACTATGAGATAACAACACCTTAAAATAAGTATATTTACTTTAAATGATTTGAAGCTCTTGAAGATTGTACAACAGATACATAAGTGAATAGCACCTTTTAATACAGATTTAGAATTAGATACAGTAGAGCCAAACAATGAATCACAGCTGTTTCGTCCTTCTTGGACTCGTCAGTTATGCTGAAGGCCTAAACTTTGAAGCCTACGAGGCGACTGAGGAATTCCAATGTGATCTAAAGAAAAGTCAAAATCTAGACTTGGAGGTGCCCCAGCCCCATGATTTTAATAAATTTCGTAATTTTCATGTGTCAGATAATTTTAAGACAACGTAAAGTAAATGTGTATATTCTGGACCGTGCCACTATTCGAATGAATTAAGACGTGGTGTGCAGGTTAGGATAAACCTCGAGGACTTAAGAGTCCACAAGCAGTGTCTACCAACGGCTATCTAGAAAAATGTACATTAGACACGCAAGTGAATAGCACCTTTTAATGCAAATTTAGAGTTAGATACCAAACAATGAATTAAACTGTATCATACAGATGTTTCGCCCTTTTAGGACTCGTCAGTGATGCTAATGGCCTTAATTTTGAAGCCTAGGATGCGACTGAGGAAAATCCAATGTGATCGAAAGAAAAGTTAAAATGTAGACAGGGAGGTCCATTAGACATGCACCTTCCCGTCTCGATTTTGATGCAATATCAGAGGCATGATAATTCAGAAGTACACTTTAATAAACCACCGAGCCCGTTCCGCCGTACCAATACAGGTCTCTCAGAAGTTTGTATGGATATGTTTGTACCAATTATATGGTTTGATGATATACCAGTCATGTTTCCTTTGATATGACAGTATGTAACTCTGACTTGAACAGATAAGATCAATATGCCTTAAGTAATATCAGTTCAAATCTCAATAAAAATGGGATTTCCTATTTTTATTCTATTTTTCTATTTTTTTATTTACACAGTCCTCATTTGGACATGTAATATCGATAAAGCAGAAGACGCTCCCCCTTGTAGAATAATTGTTTCTATTTTTTCGTTTTTAAAGCGTCTCCGTGTGTAGTAAGAGGCAAAATATAAATAAATAAATATGGCGAAATACGGGGAGAATAATACAAAGTGTACTGGAAGGGTAAACGTCTTGTACTTCATGAACAGCACACAGCATGTGTATCTTAGTCAATACAAATAAGTAGCGTCATTGGTGGCGCGTTCCCATAGAAAACCAGGATGACACCAGAAAGTCATACAGATGAGCATCGAAAAACCCAGCACATCGCGTAACCAAATAGAATATTCCCCAATGTGATAATCATATTTCAGTCATAAGACTAATCCATCGTCATTAACATGCATCTCTCGAAACCCGGTGTCTTAATTTTATCTCACAATGAAATACAAGAGTTTTCATGACGTTGATCACACACGTTTTCTGTGGTATTCATCAATCTGCATCTGCTGCATCTGCAAACTCCAACCATGGGTTGTTAGTCTATCCATCTTCTATTCATATCCGAATTTGTGATATTTGGAACATTAAACATCCAAAATAATTTATGCAATTTTTTCTAATCATTAACTGGTCGTTTATAATAATAAATGCTAATTGATGAAGACAAACTTGTCACGTATGTTCAGTTTAGCTTATTATTTGGTATGTAACTACACCTCACCTCCCTGTCCTGCTGAACATATTTATCATATAGTTTGTAAATACACCTCACCTCCCTGTCTTGGTAAAAATACTTGTTATATAGTTTGTAAATACACCTTACCTCCTTGTCCTGGTAAAAATACTAATTCATTACCTGAGATTATTTTATATACAGGTAAATGTGAAATGTCGGTCCTGTCCTAGTGCAATGAACTTATTAGTTCTAAACGCGTGTTAAGTCCAGCATAAGTATTTCTGTACAGAGATAAGCACATAAGCAGATGCAGTCAGGTGAGAAGTTCCCAACATCATAACCGACCAGACAGGGATTTTTTTTTATAAAAAGAAATATTTCCATTTCGGAGCCAACACACGTTTGGCCATTGTTTGAAACGAGAGATAAAGATATCAAAGGATATTTCAACTAGTAAATCAAAATTAAAAAAAAAACGAACCAATTGAAATACATGAACACTATATTTTATGGGAATATCTCATCAAATATTCAACCCAACATATATCTTCAACTTCATTCAAAGAATCAACACTTGATGTATTGTTTATAAATAAATAAGAAAATATGGAAAATTTATTCATATGAATAAAAAGAATAAACAAGAGAGAAATTTTCTATCATAAATTAAAAGGATAATCATCTTGTTCTGATTTAAAATCACGTAAATTCCACAAAATAGGACAAAAAATGGATAACGCTGTTCCCATCATAGCCAGCATGTAGCTCCATCCCATACTGCACTGTCCAGCATTGTATACTTCCGCTCTAGGTCCGCAGTAATAATGAAAGAAAGGTGAGTTCATCCCTAAGGGGTAGGTCAATAATGCTGATGTCAGTATGAGAACTGCAATAGAAAAGAGAAAAAAAATCATATGATATATGTTAAATTATTTTTAAATGATAGGAGAAGGAAAAAAATACAAATATGAAAATATCTAGTGGAAATTGTATAGATGACGAAGGCTGACGAGAAAACGAATTAGAATGATTCATTTGGAAGAAGTAATCTTGAAGGACAAAAACGTTTTAAAAGGTTCATGATCATCTGCCTACTGAAGACTCAGGAGATATTTAAAGTGTATTACCCAACATTTATTTATGTAGGGATAGTTCGCCATCAGCAATAAAACACTAGTACGCTTGATGTACATCGTAATAAAGAATACCCAATTTCGAGGAAAACAACCCACGGTTAGATAATTCATTGTCAAAGTGTAATCCCTGGAGAGAATTATATTCACAATTAATGCAGGTTTCAGGCGCTAGTTCTGTAAAATATGGCGGAAATTACTGAGATGGTGATAAAAACACTACCCTAAGGTCTTGGTGTACAGCAAATTAAAGGTCAAAGATATCATTATAAATGGCAACGCCGTCTACCTCGTATCAACGCTTTTTAATTCTATTGTATATGGAGATTCCATCGCCGGATAACACACTTATGGCCAGGAAACTTAGCAATATCTCTTTTTAAATTTCTAACCGAGCTAGTTAAATTGATAATCTGGCAATATTCCCAACAGTGAAATACCGATACAAACACGGCTAACAGGTCTGATGTCAAAGAGTTCAGTAACGTGTCATTACTTCCTAATGAGGTTATGTCATCATTTGAAACAAATACAAACGAAAACGTGCAGATGATAATTTACCTCTTAAATCCTTAGTAAAGCCATTAATTTGTTCACAATTTGTTTTTTATTTAAAAAAAATATAAAAACAGTCATAATCACTACTGATTTTTATATCCTTGTCATAATATTCCAAACTCAGACGTAAATGATTTGTTCCCGTTATTGTCAAAAACAGACAGAAAGTGTCACCCATTTATAAAACAAAGGTACTCCGTCAATTGATACTGGTAACCTTACATATTATGGACAATGAACATATCAGTCACATAGATCTAAGTATATGTATATGATCATCTGCTTCATGCCGTAACCTGTATGTCACGTTTTAATTCATTCGAAATGTACCGAAGTTCGTATCAGAAATATGAAATTTACAAATTCATTGAATTATATGGGCTTGTGAACCTTCCCATCTAGATTGTGATGTCTTTTGACCATTTTGAATTTCCAATCGACTCTCAGTTTAAACATCTAGTCCCTTAGCAGCACTGACAAAACGCTTGTATGATGCAGTTTAATTCAACGTTTGGCTCTACCCTATCTTATCTAAATTTGCATTAAATGATGCTGTTAATTTGTTTTTACAACGTTTTCTGTAATCACAACAACAATAAACATTCTCCGTGGCCGTCTTGAACAAATCATATCGTTTGAATAACATATGTATAAAGAATATTCATGGAAACATTGTCTAAGTCTCTAAGAGGACTTATACAGAGCTTTTCAGCCTGTACTGGTAGTGTTAATTTCATACAATTATGTTTCTATTGTAACGTCACAAGGTATACGGTGTGTTCATCCTTCGTGATTTAAACTATATTGGGTAGTAACAACCAGGATTAAGATTACAAAACATATGCCCATTGATGTGCATATAGATTTGTATTAAAAGGTGCTATTCACACGTGTCTTTTGTATAATCTATATATAGCCATCCATTTCTCTGATTAATAAAGAATAGTAAGATGTGACTTTCATATACATACCAATCGATTTGTGTATATTTAGTGGTACGATCCATATGTTTGTCATGTAAGGTCCCCCCTCTGGGTGTTTGGTTTACTTCACACGTCATGTAAGTGTAGTCAATAAAGTGTTGTAGATGTGATTTATTTCAGTCCTTTTATACAAACTGTGTATAAGGTGACTGCTCCAGGAATGGAGATGGAATTGTCTCCAGTCTCAGAAGGATGGCAAATGTCAGGTCGCACAGTAAACACAATAGTTTCTTGGAACATCACATTTTCCATTAACATAGACTGGTCCAGGACCGCGGATTGGAAGATTAACTGACCAATGGGTTGAGAAATCAGAATAAGGAATATTAAACCAATTTGGAAACTATTACACGAGAATGGTTTGGGGAATGAGAATAATGAATATGAAATGATAATATGGGCATGGAATCTATTAAAAGGAAGAGGAAGTAAGAAGTTGAAATGGGATGAAGAGTATGATGGAAATAATTGATAAAGAGAAAGAGTGAGTACTGGAAAGAGCTGAAGGTAGGATGTTGTTGCTACGTGTAGGTAGAGGTAGGGATTCCTTGGTAGTAGATTAGGGACGGGAGACCTGGGAATGGTGGAAGATAGGGTGGGCCTAGAAGTTGGTGGTAGATAGGGGACAGGAGACTTTGAAATAGTTGAAGGTAGGGCGGACCTGGAAGTTGTTGGTAGATAAGGGACATTAGACCTTGAAATGGTTGAAAGTAGGGCGAATCTTGAAGTTGTTGGTAGTTAGGGGACAGGAGACCTTGAGATGGTGGAAAGTAGGGCGGACCTGGAAGTTGTTGGTAGATAAGGACAGGAGACCAGAAAATGATGGAAGCTAGGTCGTACCAAGTGCGCGGAGGACGAGAGATCTAGAAATGGTGGAAGGATGATTGAGATGGATCATGAAAGAATAGAAGAAAGATTATGACGATTCTGTGAACTTACTCTACTCAGACAATCGTGCTGAAACGGACACCCATCGAGAAATACTGCTTGAAAGACAAGTGCGACATAGCTTTTTAACTTTATTCATACAGCCAGCGATATTAATCTGCCACTTTACTAAGTCTCAAGTTTAATTACAGTGGAATTAGTTTGGCGTCATTTCCTACAGAGCTTTGTAATAGTATACAAAAATGATAAAAATGTTGATGAATAAAAATAGTCTGTGTTCATGTGTGATTTCTCTAAATATTTCAATTACATGCAGAAGTACATGCACAAATTAAAACGAAAATGAGCTGCCTCACCGGGGGTTTGTTTTATCAGATTCCACAAAAAGCTGTATATATATATATATATATAGTATTAATAAACAATGAATAGAATCACGTTTTATTGTTCTCATAGTGTATAAAATTCGTGATAAACAATTTCACATATATTGGCCTTTGTATTGATAATAATACAATTAGAAACATTATATTGTACTGGTAAGTTAACATAAGGATAGGCACATGGTCTTAGTTATTGTCTATAGATTTCTGAATGGAACATTAGAGACATGAATTAAGAACTAACATTCAAAATTGTATTATTATTGGTTTTGCTATGATATTAACTAAAAGCAAGAAAACATGTTTGATGGTTGTAACATTATAAGTATTAATACCAATAAACACTAGCAAAGCTTCTACCGCAAAGATTAGTATCGTACTATCTGTGTGACGTAAATTTTATTTGCACTGCATGATAGGACATACATGTACCATGATGAAATTTGCATCGATAAAAACATTTAAAAACCATTGTTAACTAAATGTCGATGGAATCTTAATTGGGGATGATTTCCAGCTTTATCGTGTATATCACAACGACTTACTAAATACTGGGATTTGCTGTAGTGGTGCAGAGCACAGAGATAAATAGTTAGATTGTACAGTTAAATATAGCAGCAGTGATTATACGCTATATATCAAATAAGATTTTTGAAAAGACAACAATTAATTTCAAGCAAATGCCAATTGAAATAATAATTTATCCAACTTATCTCAGATGATTTAAGAAGTTGCATTAACAATGAAGTATGTTTAGAATAACTTCTTTGAAATGTGCCTCGTCAGAAGAAAGTCAAACAAAATCAGGGAAGATGTGTTCTGCTGAAGTAAAAGTGACGTAATCGGATATAGCAATTAGGTTACTTCTGTCGACATGTTCCCTCCCAACAAACTTTTATCATCCTCTTTACCTCACCCAAAAAATCCCCAAAGATCCCTGGCGCGGACAGACGCACATCCTAAAAACACAATTCCTGTTATTATGATATCTTAAGGGGAATGCACTTCCGGTGCCAAATTGAGACATCGTGTCGTTCTGTAATTAGGCTAAGCAAAACATTCGTGCTTTATGTTTGGTCTAGGTATTCACAGTGTTCTGTAAAAGAAACGCTGTGTACTTAGGTCTTATTTAAAGTATTAATTATAACCAACTATTACAAAAAAAAAAAAAAAAAAAAAAACGAAAAAATAAAACGAAAACGGATTTCTTTTTTCAAAATGAACATTTTACCCATTCAAATTATGTAGCTGTTAGTTTCAAATCTGTGTTCAAATTTGTCTCCTGGGGTCCGTATGTATGGAGACATTTTAGATATTATAGCATTTAAAAAAATAAATGTTATAATCAAACCGTTTGATTAAGAAAACAGTAGTGAATTATCTACTAAGGGATGTAACTAAATATCGCTAGCCAGAAGGATTCAACAAATACTTGACAAGTATTGGCCGTCATGGCCACGTGTGTGTGTACAGTCTGCCAGCGGCAATTGAAGTATAAAAATTAAGGCTTATGGTTTATGAGTGTGGGATACTCACATTGACTTTTTTCATTACTGAATTATTACGTACACAAACATTCAACATTCCTGGCGATTACACACAAGCTGAGAACGAGACAGCCAGCCTGCTTCTGCAAGGATGATGTGTTGAAACGCCTTAGCGTGATACTCGCTTTTACCTCTCATGTATACTCCACACAGGACGTGGATCAAATCTGATTTAAAAACACATTTATTACTACGCGTATAAGCTTATGACGGTATGGTTTTTACTTGTAAAGGTGCAAACAGAATACTTTTTAAGAAAAAAATGGACATCCTAATCTTACATGATCCAGACATAAACGTTATGTTAGTATAAAAAGGCTTTAAAATTTTGCAATTAACCTCATGTAACGGTTAAGTATCAACGCCACGCTGTTTACAGGATACATATCTGTCA